TTGCTCCAAAAATGCATTAGGGCTTATTTTTAGGGGATGCTTTATTTTTTCATGTACAACAATTCACATTTATTTAAATACAGTCATGTCATCTTCTGGTTGCTACTCAGTGGTGGAGTGTGGGGTTTCACTTAACTGGGCCTTAATTTTGAGGTAGGGCTTATATTATGAGCATTCTGAAAAATCATACTAGGGCTTATTTTCAGGTTAGGTCTTATTTACTGAAATAAAGAATCCAATTTTCTATATAAGATGAGATTCAAACTCCTCCCCTGTTTCGCTTAGCGATGTCCGTTTTCGCTATTTTAAGTGTGTCTTAAAATGTTCAAAAACTGTTTTAAATGCTTGTCAATGCATTCCAATGGGGGGGAAAATTCACCAAAAATTAACGAAGAGTCAGAACAAAGCCAAATTAAGTTTGCAAAGGTTTTACAAGGTGCACCAAGCATTTAAAACAGTTTTTGAACATTTTAAGACACACTTAAAATAGCGAAAACGGACATCGCTAAGCGAAACAGGGGAGGAGTTTGAATCTCATCTTATATAGAAAATTGGATTCTTTATTTTTTTGTACATTCTGACATAAGAGGACTTTTTAAAAAAGCTGTTATTGACAGGCAGTGGTGGTATGTCAGATTTGTTTGAGAAATGTTTGATATTTTGATGGATCGTAAATGGTGGTCCCTTGGCTATGTGTGGTATTATTTCTTGTGCTTGAGCATCTTTTCACACCTGTTTTCTGTGCTGTTTTCCTGATGATGAATATACTGTACATCCTTTGCCAGGAGAAGAGAGCAGTTTTCCAGGTGTGCGAAGCTTTCAGGAAGAAAAGCACTGATGAATGAAGGCCTCTTTATTATTGAGGATTAAAACGTGGTAGTTAGATGTTCTTTGCTGTTCCAGTATGTAGTGTAGTACGAGGACCCAAGAGTTTTAAGAGAACAAAAGCATATGTGAATTTCTTTTAGAGAGTATCATCAATGCATTTCTCCTGCTCTTTCATGTCGTTCTTTGAGTGTTTTGCTTCCATTCACAGAAATCAATTTTTGGCTTCCTGCCCTTTTTTCCTTTTCTTTTTTTTATGACTCTCTCAAATGCTGTCCTTAAAATAGCCTCAGCTATGACTGCAGAAGCCACCCCCAAAGTGGGGTGAAGCAATCTTTTACAAGTATGAGTCTCAGAAGAGCTGTCTGATGACTAGTTTAAAGCCAGAGGTTTTAGAAGGCCAGTGTGAATCGGTGAATTGGTGCAGAATATTGTTTCTTGGTGATTGTTGTGGATTTACACATGGGATATCCCACATCTGTGTGGCATATTCTGGAACTTTCCAGAGTTAACTAACCAAATTGTGGTTAAAGAGGGCCAAAAACTTGATTCTATTGGCAGGAGGCTCGACTCCTCCTCATTGCCACTTATACTGCATACATGGGAGCATATTGACAGTTCCTCTGGGAGAGCCCCCCCCCAATTAGCCACCTCGCAGATGGACATTGCACTTTGGCTGCAGTACTCCTGTCTGAAGCCCACAAAAGCACAGCAAGTCAGCTGACTCCGTGACCAAAACTATAGCTAATGAGATAGCTCTCAGAAGGTGCCCCGGCTGCAGTCATCTGGACTCCCTCCACATAAGAAGTTTATTGTTTAAGACCTTCTTTTTTCATTGAAGAATACATTTTCAGTGAAAGAGCAGATGAATAGCTTGAGTGTGTTAATAGACTTCACATGAGGGCAAAATGTCTTTAGCTCTTAAACCTCTAGACATTATATGAACAAACAAGGGAACACACTCTCTCGGACCCTCATTAAACCTAAGCATGCACCTCTGGACAAGTTGCCTTGTGTCTTGCCTCTGGTTGACCAGCATCCATGTATCCAAGGCAGACAGTATAGAAATGAATGCCATTCTCTCTTGACTGCTTCCGTGATATTCATCCGTCATCCAAGGTAAACTCTCTAGTCTCCAAAATGTGCAAGTCCAGAGAGATTACAGAAGTCGCTCCTTCCTCTTGGATGTTCATTTGTTACTTGGTCTGGTCAGTTCAGAACTGAGGTACTAGAGAAAGCACAGTGGGCATGCACGATGTGTGGAGAGGGCAGAGTTCGTGCCAAAACTCTGTTAATTAGCTTTGGAAGGACAAGAACAGTTGTCTGAACTTAGGAATCTTACACAAACTTTCTTCTGTTCTTTTCTGCAAGTTTGTGTGTGTGTGTGTGTGGTTGTAACCTTCCCCCATTGCCCCAGGGATTCGTACTGTGGCAGGGGTGGGCAGTTAATTTCTATAGGAGGCCACATAAAAAATCTGAACTGTGTTCAGGGGCCGAACCAAATTTCCTTAAAAATAAAATGAAACAGTGATGTTATGACTGTTTTTATTTTAAACTTGTTAATCTTCACAAATGCCGAAGAGTTTTTGTTTGTTTTTGTTTGTTTGTTTTGTGGTATGTTAAACTTTAACAGTTAAAGATAAGCAGCTGGTCAACTTTAGACAAAAAGCTATAAATGGTTTTGATGTTCAAAACTGTCTGCGGGCCGGACAGGAGTGGCTCACGGGCTGCATGTGTCCCTCGGGCCGCACTTTGCCCAGGTCTGTACTGTGGGATGCTTTTCAGGGGTTGTGGAGTTGAGGGGGGAGATTGATTGAGTGATCATTCTTACTGTTTGTGTGACACAAAATATAATCTATTAAATGCAGAACGGCATGCGAGAGACAGCTATTTCATTTCAAATATCTCATAGAACAATTTTATATATATATATATAGATTGTCATTTATTTATTTATTTTTATTTAGGTGGCCATGCTCCAGAATGAAAGTTTGGAAAAGAACAAAAGCATACAAACATTACATAATCAAATTTGTAGCTTTGAAATCGAAATTGAGAGACAGAAAGAAATGCTGCGGAGTAATGAATCTAAAATACATCATCTACAGGTGAGGTTCTGACTCTTTCTTCCTCTTTTAAAGCAAGAAACTGCAATCACATTTTCTACTTGGAGAACAAGATGTGATAGTCAAGGTTACAGTCTTCAGCACAGGAGCAAATCCAGTTGACTTCAATGAGACGTCTTGGTAAAAATAGGATTGATTAGTAGTATGCATTCTGATGGTAACAGCTTGGCTTGCCCTAATTTAAATAGGCTTCATGGTCTCTGTGTAATCAGAGGATTCTGCTTCTGCATAGACCTATGCTTATTTCTTTAAAGGGGAGTTAAGATTGATTTTTCAGTAGGCTCCTACAGTTATCTTTGTCTCTAATTTTTAAATGCATACTTTGAAGCAGAAATTAAAATTGCCTTTAGTTAGGAAGAGCTTCCAATGTGAATACGAAGGCATTGTAAGGGCAAAAAAAGCCCTCCTATATTTATTTATTTATTTATTTATTTGTTTGTTTAATTTATATGCCGCCCACACTACCCAAAGGTCTCTGTTACTGCTGCATGTAGTGTGCTGTCTAATTTCAGCTATGACTGTAGAAGTCTGTGATAGAGCTCAGGCTGCAGGATAGTGTGCACTTCCCCCAAAAAAAAGTTTTGGGGAAGAAGATTATTGGTACGTACTTGCATACCTAAGGTCCCAGCTTTCCTCTTTGACAAATGATAGAAGAGATCTCCACCTAACTTATAGGAGAGCTGCTGCTAAAGAGTAGACGAGCAGATAGTTTGTCGCATCGGGTATAAGAGAGTTTCTGTGTCTCCTTTTAATATTTGGGGAATTTACCGTATTTTTCCATGTATAAGACTATATTTTTGTCTGAAATCTTTACACTAAAATTGAGGGTCGTCTTATACAAGGAAGTAAACTGAGGAGAGAACAAAAACAAGTGGAGGGGAAAGCAGGGATCAAAGCGATCCTGCAGCGCTTTGACCCCTTTCCACCTACACTTGCTAATCCCCACTTAGATTTCTTAATTTTAGATTAGAAAAGTGGGGGCATATTATACATGGGGGTGTCTTATACATGAAAAATATGGTAACTTGACTGTCATTAAGAAAGGTTAGGACCAGGTGCTCTGAGCCCCGCTTTTTGCAACTGTAGACCTGCTTTAGCTAAATGGGGACTCTAGGGTATATATCTGCGTTACACAGTCATACCGTTTGTTCCCAGTTTCACTTCTCAGGCTCTGTCCTATTGGATCCTTAGTTTCATTGAGAGATCTAGTACAGTGGTGCCCCACTAGACGATTACCTCGCAAAACGAATCTGCATGACGATGAGTTTTTGCGATCGCTGTAGTGCTTCGCAAAACAGTGTTTCCTATGGGCGATTTTTGCTATACGATGTTTTGGTCCATGCTTCGCAAGACTTTTTTGGGGGGGGGAACAATTTTCATGAGATGACAATTTTAACAGCTGATCAGCGGTTCACAAAATGGCTTCCCTATGGGCGATTTTTGCAAAACGACAACAATTTGTCCCCATTGGAACGCATTAAATGGAATTCAATGCATTCCAATGGGGAATCGCATTTCGCAAGACGATGTTTTCACTAGACAGCGATTTCAATGGAACGGATTAACATCGTCTTGCGGGGCACCACTGTACATTTTCCTGAACCCACAGCGGAAAATTTCAGCTCTACCAAAGCAGAGACCACAGGATTCCATTGGATACAGCCACCATTATGGAATCTTGGTAGTTAAAGTGGACTCAAACTTTGTAGTATAGATACACCTTTGCATTGTAATTCCTAGAACCCAATACGTGCCATAGTGCCATTCTTGGCATATGTAAGTAAGGCTTCCCAATATTGTGGATGCTTTCCTTAGAAAAATGTCAGGAGGCATATTAAGATACGAGTATCAGGAAAGCATTTCTTAAATCAGCATAGTACATATGCACCCTAAGGTCTCAGTATGGAAGTCGGAAATTCCAGAATGCATAGGGTAGTTTTTATAGATGGTTACAAAACAGCATAAATAAGTAATTATAACTAGTATTCCTTTCAAGTTACTTTCTTTGACGTACCTTTTTTTAACAGGATGTTTCTCAAATTGTGGTCCTTTTTCCTCTGTATCTGGCTTATCCAAAATAAAAATAATCATACGATGGCTGTGTTAATTATACCCTAAGACTTGTTTATTCTTACCTGTCTTCACACCTTGAAAGGAATGGGTGTTTCCAGTAATAAATTTAGCTAGTTACAGTGGTGCCTCGCTTAATGAGGATAATCCAGCGAAATCGCTGTAGAACGAAATCCTCTTTAAATGAAATAAAAAAGCCCATTGAAACGCATTGAAAACCCTTCAATGCATTCCAATGGACTGAAAACTCACAGTCCAGTGAAGATCCTCCATGGGGCGGCCATTTTCGGTGCCTGTAAAGAGGGCCATTTTGTACACGTGATGGCCATTTTGAAACTCAACGATCAGCTGTTTTTAGATCGTCGTAATGCAAAAATCAGTTCCCGAGGCAGGGAACCGATCATCGTGAAGCGGATTTTTCCTATTTAAACCATCACTTCTGCAATTGCAAAAACCTAATCATCAAGCGATTTCCTTGTTGAGCAAGGCACCACTGTATACTTAAACCTAATTATCAAGCGATTTCCTTGTTAAGCAAGGCATCACTGTATATTTAAAGGCATGGATGTTGACAAGTCTTTGGGTCTGAGTCCGAGTCTTGGGTACTAAAGTCCTGAGTCCCAAGTCTGAGTCTCCATTAAAAACAAGTTTTTTTCCACCAGAAAAAAAGGGAGGGGGTAGGTGTGTTCCAAGTTCCAAGTTGAGTTTGAGTAATCAAGCGATTTCCTTGTTAAGCAAGGCATCACTGTATATTTAAAGGCATGGATGTTGACAAGTCTTTGGGTCTGAGTCCGAGTCTTGGGTACTAAAGTCCTGAGTCCCAAGTCTGAGTCTCCATTAAAAACAAGTTTTTTTCCACCAGAAAAAAAGGGAGGGGGTAGGTGTGTTCCAAGTTCCAAGTTGAGTTTGAGTAATTGAAAAATAACAGCAGCCTGAGTTGTGTCAACAGTGTGACTCCAAGTCTGACTTGTCAGCAAGACCCATGACTTGAGTCCCTGTCTCTGCTTAATGGTGTAAGAAAGTACATTTACTATTGTACTCCATTTGTATAATTGCTAAATTCAAACACATGATTATATTTCAAAATTTACAATGAGGAGGAATCTCCTCAGTGTTGTAGTCCAAAAGCATTTAATTTTGGGTTTTAATGTAAATGCAATTTTTGGAAGGGAGGCATAGTCCACTTTCCTTTTTGAAAAAAAAGGTAGAAACATGTCCATTCTGAAGAGTGAATGCTAAGACAAACATTTTTGATGGGTAAAGTTCTCCTGAGTGTTTGATGGGTAAAACACCTCTGTTTTCAGATGTAATTCTAACATATAATTACCAAGCTCTGAGAAAAAACTAAAAGGCTAGTATTGGTCTTTTGTCTGAAATCATACTTGCCCTCTGCCCTAACTCAATCAGTTAAACATCTCTTGTATTTTTCTAGAGTTTACTATGTATGATTAGCACAGATATAATTTTGATAAGATTATTTTAATAATGGGTTTGCTTTTTTGGTGTTGGTTTTTTGTTGTTTTTAGAATCGTTTTTAGATGATATTCTCTCTCTCTCTAAATCTCCCCCCCACACACACACACACACCTCTCATAGATCAAAATTCAGGAGTAATGTACAGTACATAGTAAGAAACTGCTTAGATGCAAAAGTAAAGCAAAAGCAAGGTTCCTTAAGGAATATGATACCTACACACACGCACGCATGCATGCATGCACGCACACACACACAAACAAACAAACAAACACACACACACACACAAAAGCAAAGTGTGCTGCTTATATACCGCCCCATAGTGTTTAAAGCACTTTCTACAAGTTTGTTATGCAGGCTACACATTAACATCCCCCACCCCCCAGTGAGCTGGTTTTCACTGACCTTGGAAGGATGGAAGACTGAGTCAACCTTGACTGAGCACAGCTTTGGCTGCAGTACAGCAGTTTAACCACTGTATTGTGAGGCTTCTTTGCTTGTGGAGCAGAGCTTAAAAATAGCTTATTTACTTGAAAATCAATACAAAACAAGCTTCTGTGGACTGCACTAAATGAACGCAGCATCCAGCAGGCTGTTCCTTGTTGTAAGAATGAAAGCAACACATGCACACAAGGAAATTCCCATTTTAAATCTGTGTGATGGAGGTGGGGCTGTATCCTCGTGTTCTTGCAGTTAAAAAAAATTTACATGAAGTGTGCAGCTTCAAATCCATTGGCCCATCTCTCAATCCCGTAATCTAGGATCCAGTAGATCCTAGGTATGACTGAAGCACAATCTACTAATAGCTCATTTCCAAATGTTCTTTTCAGTTCAGAGCAGATTTATGTCTAGGTCTCATTCAATTTATAATTATACAAGTATATTTCAGTCTGTGTGCCTATCATACCCACAGCTCAACAAAACCAGACACAGCATCCACACTCAGGGGCTTGTACAAACATGTGCCTCACAGTTATTTGTTTACAAACACCTTAACTGATTTTAATTAATTTAAATGTTTCAGTGTATATGAAGCATAAAGTACAATTTTCAATCACTAGGTGGCAGATATCTGTAACCAATACCCTGTTTCCCCAAAAATAAGACCTAACCTGAAAATAAGCCCTAGTATGATTTTTCAGGATGCTTATTATATAACCCCTACCCCCCAAAATAAGCCCCAGGTAAGTGAAACCCTGCCCTCCACCTTTGTGCAGCAACTAGAAGAAGATGACATGACTGTATTTAAATAAATGTAGATTATTGTACATGAAAAAAATAAAACATCCCCTGAAAATAAGCCCTAATGTGTTTTGGGAGCAAAGTAATAATATAAGACCCTGTCCTATTTTTGGGGAAACACTGTATATAGCCTTTCAGCCCATATAGTTTGAAGCTGGGGAAGGTTAATCCGGAACGGATTAACCTCGCTATGCGAGGCACCACTGTATTTGAATAAATGTAGATTGTTGTACATGAAAAAAAAATAAAACATCCCCTGAAAATAAGCCCTAATGTGTTTTTTTTTGGGGGGGGGAGAGCAAAAATTAATACTGTATAAGACCCTGTCTTATTTTTGGGGAAACACGGTAGAACTCAGGTCCTGCGTACCCCTACAACAATAGCTGTTGCTTTTTATTGTCCAAAGGCCTTTGGACTTCTCTGTAACTTTTTGTGAGGTGGAGATGTCTTTGCTGTAATATGAGCGAACCTTAATGTTTTCGCTCTGCATTGTGCAAATGTTACTGCAGCATTTCTATCACAGCTACAAACAGATGACAAAGCTATTATGTCATCCTCAAAGCTGTGTTTCAGGTTCATGAGGCATGTTCTGAATAGTTTCTGAGTTTACTTAACTGTTAATTGGGAGAGTTATAGTAGTGTTTGGCACTAGCCAAGAGTGTCTCTTTTTCTAAAATGCTTATTTTATACAAGTCTTCTGATGTACTTTTATGTAATAAGTAGTCTTCCTCTATTCATTGTCTTCTATTTGAGATTTCTTCTTAATAATTGCTACATTGTTTTCCAAAAGCGGGTGATAGATAGTCAAGCGGAGAAGCTGAAGGAGTTGGACAAAGAAATTCGCCCCTTCCGACAGAACTGGGAGGAAGCAGACAGCATGAAGAGCAGCGTTGAGTCCCTCCAGAACAGAGTGACTGAGCTGGAAAGTGTTGATAAGTCTGCTGGACAAGGAGGTAGGAACACAGGTAAATCTGAGCACAGGTCAATGAAATCTTGGGTGGTTGTGCCAAAAGTAAATTAGACTTTTTGGAAATGGAGCTTCTGCTAGGGTGCAAATCCCTGTCTTCTTGAGCATTACCTGCTTAAAATCATTCTTGAAGTTCAATTATGTGGTGTTCATTCCAGTATGTTTATGCTATACTTTCTGCCACGGCAGTCTGCTTGAAAGCTGAGATCTTCTTGCTTGTCCCACCGCTTTGCACAGCTAGGTTGGAGACTTAAACACAACAAAAACTTTCTCTTTAGTGCCACTTTGATGTGGAATTTCCTTCCAAGAAAATCAGCCTGGCTCTATCCCTTTATACTATTTTGTATAGCCTTTGCTCTTTTTTAATGTCTGTATCCTTTCCTCCCCATCCCGCCAGCCTGTTCTAAAATGCTGAATTTAAGAAATTAACGTACAGTGGTGCCTCGCTTGACGAGGATAATTCATTCAGTTGAAATCGCTGTTAAGCAAAATCCTCGTCAAGCGAAACGAAAAAGCCCATTGAAATGCATTGAATTATACATTCCAATGCGTTCCAATGGGCTAAATAGAAGATCCTCCATAAGGCGGCCATTTTCGGTGCCTGTAAAGCGAGGAATCCGTCCTGAAAACACAGCGGAGAGCCATTTTGCACAGTGGGTGGCCATTTTAGAGCCGCCAGTCAGCTGTTTCAAAATCATCATTTAGCGAAAAATCGGTTCCTGAAGCAGGGAACTGATCATTGTTAAAACATTGTTTTGCAAAAGCGATTGCAAAAACTTCATTGTCAAGCGGTTTCGTCACTTAACGAGGTAATCATTAAGCGAGGCACCACTGTACATAATAATGTTTATATTTCAGTTGTGAATTGTATTGGTGTATGAGCTCTGTACACTTGGTGATTGCAAAAGGGAGCCTTCAGTCAATGGCAACCTGCTGCTTCTGCTGCTGTTATTCCTGTTCTGTAGGTGGGGCTGCACAACAGGATTCAGCCAGGTTTTCCAGATAAATGTTGCACATGCCCCCTACCCTACCTTTTGCAATAGGAATTATCTTCGAAGGAAGAGCAGAGAGAGGAAGAGATTCTTCAACTTGCTCTGTTCCATTTTTGGCTTAGTGCTTTATGATTTGAGGTTGTTTTTACTGTAGAGCTTATTGTCTTTCATGTGTAGTTCAGAAGTATGTTTCATCTGTGAAACAGAATGAGATCTGATAAATTAAAAAGGTCAGTGCTTTATTCAACGAAGGAGGTAATAAAACCACAAATTAGCAGTATGGCAGGGACCTTTTCAAGTGGCTCACTCAGTATCACTTGGTACAAAGAAAGAATTAGCATGAGAAAATAATTTTAGCAAGGATTAATAATCTACTAATGCACTTTATATTTTGTCTGATAAATCGCTCCATTCACTGTTGAGCAGCGTCTGTACATAAATTGAGACCCTGATGGTTGGGATCTCATTGGTGATCTTGCCCATTATATCTTAAATAAATCATTTCCTTTCCCCCCCTTTCTTTCTAGGCCATCTAGAATCACAGTTATCTCGGCACGACCAAATGCTGAGCGTTCATGACATCCGTCTAGCTGATATGGATCTCCGATTCCAAGTGCTGGAAACGGCTAGCTACAATGGAATATTAATCTGGAAAATCCGAGATTATAAACGTCGGAAGCAAGAGGCAGTGATGGGGAAGACTTTGTCCTTATACAGCCAACCTTTTTATACAGGATACTTTGGCTATAAGATGTGTGCCAGGGTTTACCTCAATGGAGATGGGATGGGTAAAGGGACGCACTTGTCCTTGTTCTTTGTCATAATGCGGGGAGAATACGATGCGTTGCTACCATGGCCGTTCAAGCAGAAGGTCACCCTTATGTTGATGGATCAAGGACCTTCTCGGCGCCACTTAGGAGATGCTTTTAAACCAGACCCCAACAGCAGTAGTTTCAAGAAGCCTACTGGAGAAATGAATATTGCTTCTGGCTGCCCAGTCTTTGTTGCACAAACTGTTCTAGAAAACGGAACCTATATTAAAGACGATACTATTTTTATTAAAGTCATAGTGGATACATCAGACCTACCAGACCCCTGACATACAGCAGAGAGGCAGATCCAACAGAAGACCACGGCATCTGGGGCTCTTTTTTATATCTATCTATCTTCAGTGAGAGGTCCCTAAATCTCAGAGGGGCCACCTTGTGTTAACAGAAGGAAGAGTTTGGAGGTATAACTTGTGTAGGGTCCAATGGAAAACATAGCAACCCATTAAGGAATCATACCATGGTATATTTTCTAAACTAGTAGGAACACTTCAAGTTCTGCCAAGTCACATAATCCTCATGAGGACAAAGGTTACAGTCAGAAAAAGCTTTTCATAATTTATTGGTAATGCAGTCAATGGGGAGGAAAAAGACAACAGCATCCTATGCTGAATTAAGACATCAGACTTTTATTCCTTTTTAACTACAACACAAAAATAAAAATTCACATGTGGGGTTAGCTAGACATTGTCAGCATGTTAAGTAAAAAAAAAAAGAAGAAATTATGAAGTAACATTGCAGTTAAAGATATATTATTACTTTGAAAATCTAAGTGCAATCTTGTCTGAAATATAGTATATTGTCTATTTTTAAGGCCTCATCTGGTCTCTGTTTTAAAATAATTACTTTGTCAGAAGACCTAGACAGAATGTATAGATCTTCTTAAAAGTGTCTAAATCAGAGTCATATTTTTGTTTAGAGTTCTATTAATTGCTACAAAAACATTTTATTTTGAAACTGTTGATAGACTGATATTTCTTGGAAGAAAAAAAGATCAATGCAGGTTATCACTTGTGATATGAAAAGAAACTATTCAACTACTGCTGTTATTTCTCTTTAGAAATGTAAACCTACAATATATGTCGTAGTTAATGACACTATTTCAAAATTGAGGAAAAATTATCACTCATGGATGCTGTGCATCATTATCAGATTTATAATTTTCACCCTAAAATAGGGCATTTGTTGAACTTTGGAGTTCTAAACGGAATCCTGTATGTTTTTAAAGTTCTGCCTCATGCGTTCAGACCAAGCTCTCTAAAATATATATGTGTATATATATTATATAATCTATTTTTTGCTAAAGCATAAATGTGCAACATATTTTTGGTGTTTAAGAGAAGGTGTAGTGCTGAGTCATTTATGAAACCTGCTAATTAATCCTCTACTTCGAAAATACTGCATCTTACAGAGGATATCCGTTTGGAGAAAGCAGTGTCTTAATGGAAGAATGGTGGCTTGCATGCATTCATGTGCCTTAGCTGTGATGTAGTGCTTTATAGCTCATAGCTTTGTATTCAGATTTTAATTTCAGATTCCTGAAATAGTCATTTTAACTGGACTTTAGGCATAATGTGTTGACTGGTCTGTAAAGCCCAAACAATATTTTGCAGTATGCTGAATTGGAAGCCAAGACGGTGTTTCTGGCTTACCAGAAAATCCATCAGCCACTTCATGGAATACTATTTATTCAGGTGCTATATTTTTGTGCACAATGCTCCTATGGAGCTGGGATTTCTGACAGCACCTCCTATTTCCAAGGCAATAGGATAACTGCTGTGTGATGCCATGCTTATATAGGTAGCAGAGCTAACATGATTTCAGATCAGATCAGTTCCAAATTGGTGAGGGATTATATTAACAAGTACATTATTGATGGTTGTTTTCTGGCAGACTGATACATAACCCTGCAGGGAAACCCACAGGATCCTCCTAATTAAACAACTACCTGAGCTTTACTAGAAAGCATTTTCCAGCCTTTGAATCATGCTGATTGCAACCCACAGAACTTAATGGCTTCTGTTTCAGTAGTCAAACTTCTGCGGCCAGTAAGTCTAATGACATAGCTTGACCATACACCAACCATGTGGGTGCTGCTTTAATTGCATGGGTGCTGTGTAACAAACATGTGGGTGCTCCCCTAGACTGAGCTGATGTGCACATGAAAAAGGAATTGTATAGACGAGGGGTTGTTAACCCCCGGTCTGTGGGCTTGCCAGAATTGGGCTGCGGATATGGGTCTCCACCCCCGCATGCTCGTGCGGGGGCACCACACGCCCACCACATGAGCGTGGGGGTGCCCCCGCCCCCCATGAATGGAGCTCACTCCCCCCAGCCAGTCCACGGCCCCCAAAAGGTTGGGAACCGCTGGTGTAGACCATGTCCAGATATCCAAGAGGAAGAGGTGTCCTACATCTCTTTGTAGTTATGGAGCAGAGGGAATTTCAGCTGGTGCAGCACTGATTCTCCTTAGCTATTCAAGGTGCACAAGCGTTATCCTCTTTTGCATCCAGATGTCCTAATCGTGTACCTTGTTCTCAAGCCAGTCATGTTGTGTTCACTTAACTTTCCACTTGGGTAGGATGTTGTAGCCAGGGTTTATGTCTAGGGCTCAGTTGAATGTCCATGTCCTTTCTAGTTCATTTTTTTGCTCTTGCCATTGTCTTTTATGGCTGTGCCTTCCCACGCAGTGCCTGCTGGAAGTATTTTTCTGTTAATAAATATACAGTGCAGTGCATGCTGAGTAGTCCTCATGGGTTTTTTCAGGCACCTGCTTGAATACTGCCTGCCTTTGGCAGCCAAAAGCGTTCAGTAGCAACATGTCTTCCTCTTCTTGCCTTCCATTGTCCAGGTACTGTATTCTCTCTTATGGTACTTCGCTGTCAACTGGTACAAATTAATGTAAGAAGGCATGTGTTAGAATTCCAGCTCTAATATCAAGCGAAGACGTTCTGCCGAGGAAGTTCGTGGTGCAGTTTTATGCAGGCTGATGTAAACCCATCATCTTCTGCTTTAGGGAAAAGAGTTAACTCAGCTTGTACCATTATTCTGATAATAGTCATGGATATAGGCAGCTGAGCTTTTGTATATGCAGTACAGAATTTTACTGAAAACAGGATTCCCTAGTGGAAACGTCCAAAGGGCTCACCTTCCCATTGCTCCTCCATCATTAAAAAAAATTGTACAAGTGTGACCTTTTATGAACAGTTTATGTCCTGTTTGAATACGACGCTGACAGAGGATAATTGTGCTATAATCTGAGCCCTGTTTAGTTCAACAGCCTGTTGAAGACAAATGCTATTTTAAAATCCTTGAAAATGTGAATAGAGTGCAGGTCTGCACATTCTCCCACCCCACCCCCAAGCTTGCAAGCAGTGAACAAAAATGATGAGTTATAAACATCATCTATCTGGTGTGCTAAAAGTTCTAGGCCGTTTCATAATTATGGTAAAGACACATAGTACAGTGGTGCCTCGCTTAACGAGCGCACCGTTTAACGAAGAATCCGTATAGCGATCCCTTTTTGTAAGCAAGGGGAGGGCGCGAAAACACTGATAGGGGGCCATTTCGGGTCATCCGGCGGCCATTTTGGAGCCGCCGATCAGCTGATCGGCGGCTCCAAAATGGC